CGCTGCTGCAATGCAGGGGGGGGGGTCCCTGCTGTCCCCCATTGCCCCAAGCTGCATGAAGGGCTCTGCCACAAGCCCCCCACCCCCTCCTCCCAGGCAAGCACAGCATCAGGCTTCCTGAGCCCAGTGTAGGGGGCCAGGTATGGAGGTAGCCACCTGAGCCCACAGGGTGGCAGACCCCAGTATTAGGGGCCAGACAGTAACCTCAGGGCTTCTGGGGGCTCATGGCAGAGCCCCTCACACAGTGCAGGGCAGTGGGGATCGCCCCTCGCCTAGCAGGAGCCAGTGAGTTTGGGGCTTTTTTTTTTTAAAGGGCCAGGAGCTGGGGCAGGTAGAGCAGCTATGGAGGTGTGATGGGGCTGGAAGAATGGGCAGGGGTTGGGGGGCTTGTGACAAAGCCCCACCATGCAGTGTGGGGCAGTGGGGATTGCCCCCCCACCCAGCCGCAGCTGGTGAGTGTGGGCTTTCTCGCCTAGCAGGAGCCAGTGAGTTTGGGGCTTTTTTTTTTTAAAGGGCCAGGAGCTGGGGCAGGTAGAGCAGCTATGGAGGTGTGATGGGGCTGGAAGAATGGGCAGGGGTTGGGGGGCTTGTGACAAAGCCCCACCATGCAGTGTGGGGCAGTGGGGATTGCCCCCCCACCCAGCCGCAGCTGGTGAGTGTGGGCTTTTTTTTCCCCAAAGAGCCGGGAGCTGGAGCTGGGTGGGGCTGGGAGAGCAGGCAGGGGATGGGGCCTGTGTGATTTGGAGATTTGGCTGATTTGGCAGCAGCCAAATCTCTGAATCAGATTCAGCCAAATTGATTCGGGACAGTGATTTGAATCACCGAATTGAATCACTGTTCCCCGAATCGGCCGAATCCAAAGCGAACACTAGCTGCTTTGCACAGGCCTATTATCCATCTCCTCGTACTATGGCAGGCTGTTAGTGGGTCTTTGGGTTTAATGTCATAAGGTGCCTACCAGCTGTGGTTTGTGACAGGGATCAGACAGCAGTGCCTAGGACTGTTTGGATAAATGATTAGGCAGAAGGCAGGGTAGATTTGCACCTTACAGACAATCTAAATCAGAAATGCATAAGCTTTTGTAAGCAACAGCTTACATTATCAAATGCTATGAAGGGACTTCAGGAAGCTGATGTGCTTCTAAATAGGAAGCAGTGTTTTGAATACAAAGGATAAATGGTTGCCTACACATGCAAGGGATGGGAGTTAATGGCTTGGGAGCCCTTTTCAGTCCTATGTTTCGAAGACGTCTTTGTGGCTTGTCCTGATATTCATTTGAAATAGGCTAAAGTCATCCCTCAGCCATCTCCCTTATGGACAAGATCACAATAATTGTTACATTTCTGCATCCTCGGGGCTTTGTTAGCTGCATTTCTCACATGAAAATGAGTCCCATTGGCTCCAACATGCATTGGATCCAGCTAGTGTTGGTGGATGATGTAAAAATGCAAAGGCATCCCCCCTTCCTAGTTTTTGCAAAGATAAGCGCTGCTATCACCCCACCTAGCAGGGGCATGGATTTAAAGGACAAAGCTTGACATCCTAATCCCAAGAGCAGACTGTTCTATCTACACACTTCAGAGCAACCTCCCTAAGAAAACAGAGCTAAACATAGTGAGACAAACGTATTCTTCTTGTAACCCCACTGAGGTCATAGGCATGATACAAAGAATGAATAACAACTATAATGTCTTGAAATGAAAGGATCTGCAGAATGTAATGGGCATGTTGCATTTTATTGGGCAGGGAACGGACTAACAATTGCAACCCATGATTTACAAGAGTTACGATAATTAGAGGAGTTACATCTCCAGCAAATTTTGTTTAGAAACTAATTGACACTTCTAACACCAGGGGTGTCTCAAAGGCTTCCAGCAATCTAAGAGTGTATATAAAGGCTCTTGCAACCAGAGACTTTTCTAACCACTTCTCTTGACTTCTCTGTGAACTGGGTAAGTCTGATTTTTGTTCCTCCCTTTAGGACTAACAAAATGTGAACTGCTGATACTTCTGATCCTTCAAAAACATAAATCCTTAACAATCGAAGGGTGCCCTCCATATTGCAAGCCTTGCTAAATGCAGGCTTCACTGGTTAGGGTTAAGATTTTCATTGGAATTTTTGTGGATGTTTTCCCATTCATTTTTTTTTCTAGAAGTGAGCTTTTTTCTGGAGCTTTGGAAATGGCATTCTAAAAACATTTTGGTATAGGACATCTTTGAACTAGAGTTGTTTTAAAACATTCTTATGCCAAACCCCCAGCCAGTTTGAATACTTCATTTGAGCTGAGGGATAGGGTGTAACTCCCTGACATGGTAGATATCATAGATATCTATGGTTGATATTGGCTTTTATTTATAACAAGTGAAATGAGACATTGCCGATTTTTTTGATGTATGGGCACTGTTTTCTGAAAACAGAGCAAGCATGCTTGATCTTGTTGCTGCATTGCCCCTGTTTCTGCTGTATCAGAACCTTGAACGTCTAATACAACCGGCACTTGTGCCGTTGATGTGTTCTACCCTGTGTTTTCTATTCCAGATTTAACACCATCACCGAAAGATGGCTTGCTCTACAAATGTGTGCAACAATTCCTCCGTATCCTGCGGGGTTGCAGCCCCACAGCCAATTGCTGATAGCTGCAATGAGCCCTGTGTTAGGCAGTGCCCTGATTCCACAGTGGTGATTTACCCTCCACCTGTGGTTTTGACGTTCCCAGGACCCATTCTCAGCTGCTTCCCTCAGGAAAGTGTTGTGGGCTCCTCAGCTTCACCTGTCCTTGGAAGCAGCTTGGGGGGCTCCTATGGTGCTGGTTACCCTAATGGAGGTTCCCGATGTGGAAGTAGGTACAGCAATGGAAGCTGTGGGCCATGTTAAACCCAGCAGAAATAGCTATAGAGTAACCAGGAAACAGAAAAGAGGATATGGATTCATGGCTGAGCTTAGGGCCCTGGCATTCGGAAGTGCTGAGTGTTGATGGCTCCCACCAGGCTCACTGATGGTTGTAAATGCTCAGCACTTTGAAAAATAAGGCTAATGTATGTCTTTCCTATCTTTGTTTTTTCCCCTCTAATTCTGTCAGCTATCTGCTTCTTCTCTGACTAGCATGGTGGGCCTAATTCTTCATGAAAAAGGAAAAAAGGGTCTCAAGTTAGGCATTTTTTGTTGACTGTAAGGCTTCTTTCTCTTGTCCAAGAGCCGTAGAGGAACCTTAGGGTCAAGAAGAATTGGGCCTTTTCATGTACGTTCAACATTTATTTCTGGCTGCAAACAAGACACGTGACTATCAAAACCGACAGCTGCCACAGAAAGAAGAACATCAGCTGGGAAATCCGTCACCTTGGATCAGACGACAGAGGGCAGCCCTACATCATTTTATTCTGTCATTGTATGATCCATTTTTCTTTCTCATTAAAAAATATGTTGCATCATAATATGGGCTTTCTGTTTTTTCTTTCCTTGTCCCACTCCTCATGTCCTTCATCATGCCAATACCATTATTTAAAGAATGAATTAAAACATTCCCCGACCCAGTCTTCCTACCATTACACCACAGTGCCACACTCACAATTATGTTGACAAAACAGAAAAATGGTCTGAAAGAAATAGCACAAAATGCAGTAAGGACAAGTGCAAATACAAAAGTCTCTAAATACAAAATTGGGAGTAGCTGGCTAGAGAGCAATTTTTCAGAAAAGGATCTAGGGGTTTTAGTGGATTGCTAACTGAATAGGCATCAACAATATCAAACTGTTGCCAAAAACCCCACAATCCTGATACTGGCATGTATAAACAACAGTGTCTCATATAATACCTAAGAAGTAGGCCTTCCCTCCAGCACTGGGTCTCAGCTGGAGCATATCCAGTTTTGCACACCATGCTCCAAGAAAGACATAAACCTCTTGGAGAAAATCTAGAGGAGAGCAACGCAGATGTGTAGAAGTTTAGTAAACATCACTGGGGAGGAATAATTAAAAGTGGGGGCTTGTTGCTAGAGGAAAAGAACACTATGGGGAAACATAATACCCTTCAAATACAAAAAACTTACTGCAAAGGAGGGTATGAACTGTTCTCCATGCCCACTGGGAACAGCACATGAAGTAATGGGCTTAAATTGCAACACAGGAGAATTAAGTTAGACGTTAGGAAAATGTAAGTGTGAGGATAGTCATGCCTTGGAATAGATGCCCTGGAGAAGTCGTGAAATGCTTTTATTTGGAGATTTGTAAGAGCAGCCAAGAGAAATATCTGTCAGGATCAGTTTGGTAGAGTTGGTCTTTCCTTGGAGCAGGAGGCTGGACAGATGACATGATGAGGCCTCTTCCATCCCTATGTTCTGTGATTCTGTTCTAGTATGACTGACAGTCTTATAGTTTATCCCTGTTTCTATTGCTGCATGTTATCAGTAATAAAGATATTTCTGATACATCCTGATTTGCCCATTCCTTTGTCTCAATGAAACATCTATAACTTTGAAATATCAACGAAATATCTATAACTTTGTTGCTTTTTGTCTGATTTGGATGAACCTTGCAGGAGTGGTAGCCTCTGCTGAGAGCATAAAGTCTGCCAAGTTTCAAGAAGATCAGTGCAGGGGTTCAGGGGGAATTGCACCCCAAACTCTTGAAAGCAAAACATGTCATGTGTATGTGTTACACCATAGTGGGGTAAAAACTGCAGGGGTAGTAGCCCCTGCTGAGGCCACAAAGCCTGCCAAGATTCAAGAAGATAGGTGCAGGGGTTTGGGGGGAACTGCACCTCAAGCTGCTGACAGGCAAAACTCGTGACATAGATGACCGTGTGTGTGTTAAGGCGCAGCAGGCTGAAAGCTGCAGGGATGGTGGCCCCTGCTGCGGCCACAAAGCCTGCCAGCTGTCAAGGAGATGGGTGCAGGGGGGTTCTGGGGCCCTGCCCCCCTAGCTGCTGACAGGCAAAACTTGTGACAGGGGTGCTTGTGCAACTGACTGTGTCTTGGGGCAGCTGATTGCCTGTATTGACTATTTCCTCTGCTTATTCTGTGGTTTTGTAGGTGTTCATCCGTGCTCATTAACTCATTATGTAGTAGCTAGGTGCTGTGTTATGAGCTGGTCCCTGAGTGAATCATGATTAATTGGTAACTGGTAATATAGTAGCTTAGCAGCCAGGCCTGCAGTAGTCCCCCCATCCCTGTCCCCTCCCTCCCCGTGCCCCAAGACAGACAGTTGCACAAGCACCCATGTCACGAGTTTTGCCTGTCAGCAGATAGAGGTGCAGGGCCTCAGAACCCAGAAGCCCTGCACTGATCTCCTCGACAGCTGGCAGGCTTCATGGATGCAAGAGGGGCCACCATCCCTGCAGCTGTCACACCGCTGCGCATTAACACGCACAGTGGCACCCCTGGGCTTGTCCCCAGCTGGAGGTGCAGTTTCCCTCAAACCCCTGCACTGATCTCCTTGAGACTTGGCAGGCTTTGTGGCCTCAGCAGGGGCCACCACCCCTGCAGTTTTCACTCCCCTGTGGTGTAACATACACATGTGACATGAGTTTTGCTTTCAGAAATTTGGGATACAGTTTCTCCCAAATGCCTGCACCGATCTTCTTGAAACTTGGCAGGATTTATGCTCTTAGCAGAAGCTACCATCTCTGCAATCTTCATCCATATCAGACAAAAAACAACAAAGTTATAGATATTTCATTAATTCCCCCTTTTACCCTATGGCTGGATCTCCGAGGCGGCTCTGAAGCTTTGGAGCTGCGTCGTCCGGATCTAAGTGGGAAACTGATCTGGAGCTCCCAATCGGATCCCTGGCATCTGAAGCAGCTGGATCCAAAGCTGGATTGAACAGCTGCCTACTTGCACAGGCCTAATAAATAGGCTTTACATATTTTGAGATTCCACAAATGTTACCATTCTGCCTCTACATGATGATTTTTTCCTGGGAGATGTGATGGCAGGTTGTTGGACCACATCCTCCCACCCTTCCTCACAAATCTCCTACTCCTATTCTCCTTCCCATCTCCACTGTTTACCCCACCTCGCGACACCATCCCACCACTTCCACTGCCCCTAATCCCCCCCAATCTCTAGAGTTCAAGTCCATGGCTCCCCAAACTTCCTTTCTCCTGACAAACCCAGAGCTCCCCCAATTCTGGGATGTCCAGAACCAATCTTCTTGGCTCAAGTCTTGTTTCCAGCATGAACCCTCCTCCTCATCTCAGTACTCCTTGGCATCTCCTGTCCTAGGGGCACCTGGCAACTGAACTTTCCCTCAACAGAGACACGGCTCACATCTTTCTCCCCAGGCTACCCAGACCTCCTCTGCTGTGTTGAACTCCTTTCCCAATGCCTACTTTCCTTGTAAACCCCTCTTGGATTCTCAGCCTGTGAAGAATCCACTTTTTTGGCATCCTCAGTTCCTTTCCCCTTTAATCCCATGTCTTTTTTCCTTTACACAACCACTAATTGAGACTGCATTTCCCTCTGAATATTTTCTTATCTCTTCCTGCAGCTCCAAACTCTTCTACATGAGTCACATGTGCTAAAACAACATGTATTATCACCACAGTGATGAATGTGCCAAGTACAATGGGTAGGTAACTCTTTAAGTGGAAACGCTTTAATGTGCCTGATCTTAGGAAAGCTTAAATTGTGGGTGTAGCATTTCAATCAGTGCCAGGAATTTGAACGTGTTTGAAGTTTGTGCTGAATGTGTGAATTTAAGTTTACTTCACTCATCATTGCCTTGTAGCGTGGGTTGCAACATGATCTAGTCGCTCATTTTTTTTACACATAAATCAGAAGACAATTCAGTCAGACACTTACTGAATTCTCTCAACCTTGTACCAATCTTTGTAACTAGTAGTTAGTTATTTGGAAACAGAAAATGTAATAGAGAACAGGCATGGCTGTCCTCATGTAGTATGGAAAGGCAGTAGTATTGATTAAAGGCAACTGATGAAAAGAACTATACATGGCTGTTGTATTATTAGTACAATTGTTATTAGGTTGCATCTATGTCTTAACCACTGGCGCCATCCATCCTTCTGCCACCCTTCATTAAAATGTGTGAGCCTTTACTTATTTACTCATAAAACAAAAATAATGACAACCTTCAGGATAACAAAGCATCTTGCAAAATGCTCATAACTGCTTTATAGGTCCGCACTGTGCATCATATTAATGGTTTGCTGCTGGAATTAGAAACTCCTATACGGCAAAATAGATAGATCTTAGAAATACCTACCAGTGTGATTTCTCTAACCAGGTTACGATTTGAAGCCTCAGCATATGGGGCCATTTTACACACCAGCCATTCTTCTGGGAATGATCATTTTCCTGTGCAAAGAAAGCAAAATGATTGCAATATTGTCTAGTGGGCCATTATTTTTGCTGAGACCAAAAGATGATTCATCCAGTTAATCTAAAAAGACCAACGCCAGAAGGACTTTCTGTATTTTTCTCCAGTTAATGACACAGCTGGGAGTCAAGACTAGGAACTGGTTTTTGGTTGTTTGTTTTTTACAGGGCCAGTGCTGCCTTTCAACACAATATATTAATAGAGTGGTTTTAGGTGAAACACATAATCATTACCAGTGGGTTGTATGTGAAGCTCTCATCATGATTCCAAAAAACTTTTATCTCAAGGTGCCTTTCCCTCCTGGTATGTAAAAGCTTTTAATAACACCCCAGCTAGGTGCTCTGAAGCTTGTTCACAGATTAATAAATTCAGGCATTGCAGTGATGCACTGCAAGCACTGACATGCTTATTATCTTAAAACCACTAACATAATAACAGTTCATTAGTAGAATTAGATACCTCTGTATTCAAACACAGAGTGAGACTAGATCAAGGTTTATCTTCTTCTTGCCTTAATTAGATCATGATTTCTAGCCTCAGAACACAAGGGGATTTTACAAGTGCTGAAAAGAAAGTTTTTTCTTTCCCAATATTTTAAAAAAGATATCCATTTGCATGATGATGTCCCAGATCCTCAGCTGGCATATTTGCAAAGGCTCAATTGATTAATTTGTTGTGCATTGTCCACTTCAAAGATCAGTCCTGCTCTGTCAGGAGTAGGGTCCTGCAGTGTAGCACAAAGCTAGTTAGGCTTTGAGCAAATCTCTTCTCATTGCAGAGCTGTCTCCCTCCTTTCATTCCTGTTCCTTGGCTTCACCAGTTGCTTTTTCTCCCAAGGAAATGACACTTACTGATTTCAGTGCAGATTGGACAAAGGATTATAGCATAGCAGAACAAGGTTAGCTCTCCTTCTGTGTGCACTCTGCCCTTCCCCTAATACTATTATGGATTTAAAGGACAAAGATGGAATATTCTGCATGAGAGAAGTTGTCTCTATCTGCACACAACTGAGTCAGCTTTCCTTAGTTGACCTGTTAGGGAAAAGCTACAAGTTTAGAAAGACCCTTCATTC